GCAAAAGAGGAAAAAAACATGCCAAAAAATCGGCGCCTGCGGCGGGCCATCGAGCCCCATCTCCCCCCCGCATGGATACCCTCTAGGGCCCTCGCGCCCCCCAGAGTTTTTCCCCGGCGTTGCAACGGCGCGTGCAGAAAGACCGTCCCCATCGCGCCTGGGGACCCAGGCCGCGGCCGAATGCACGTCTTCCCCAGACTGCCGCCACGGCGCATTGCTGGCTGCCTCGAGGGCGCGGAGCTCGAGGCCGCACGGGCGGAATGGCATGCATGCTATATGGACAAGACCGACGAGCGGGAGGCGATGCGCCTCGCCCGCAACCTTGCAATGAGTCGCTCAGCGCCGAGTCGCGAGGGTGACTCCGCACGCCGAGTCAAGGCGCGGCGCGAGAAGAGAGACAGAGAGAGAGCTTTTAGCAATAACATTTAAAATCTCGCCCCACGCAGCGTACCACCCCCCCGCCCGACCGGGCGTCTACTTGGGTTTGTCCGCGACACATCGCGGGAGATACAGCCCCCTCTCTCGCGCGGCCCGGGGTGCCCATCCAATATCACCCCCGCCGGGGCGTGAATCCAAGCCGAGACTTTCCTCGTTGTACAGCGGCGCATGAGAAGCTAACGAAGCCGCAGAAGTTTACGGAGTTTACGAGTCTGCAACTCACGGCTGCAACAGAGTAACGACGCGATCGCCTGGCTATCGCGTGCCGACATGATCCACCAGCTGACCGCCAGATCAGAACCAGTGCTCACGATGCCTAATCATAATAGTCATTGATCACCATGCTGCGGCCTAAGACTCCGAGGATTGGAATCGTCAGACTTGATCAGCCGCGGACGGCAAAGACCGCGGTGCTTGGAGATCTGGTGGCACCACAGAGCCTACAGGGGGTGGCACCACAGAGCCTACAGGGGTCGGAGAGCTTGTCCCAAACGGATATCATCTACAGGAGAGCAGAAGGATACACGTTCTCCGTCTGCGTCTCTGGACACCCCGTGAACGCACCTGATCAGCTGCAGCTCACGCGGGGCGAGGTCAGGATCCGCGGGACTCAGGGCGATCCGCAGCACCTCTTTGAAGTCGGCGGCAACCAGCCGCCGCGTGCACGCAATCCCTCGTTCACTGAACCATGGGTAGTGAATGGGCGCGCTGTGGGCGTCGTCTACATCTACCTGCCCGAGCTCATCCTTGCCAATCTCAAGCAAACTTTGGCCGAGCTTCGCGAGCTTGAGTGCCGGTGCCTCTCCTCTTCATGCGGATTCATGGCCAACATCAACTCTTTCTGCGCCGCGCGCTCCGGGATGCCGACACTGATGTCGACTCTCGACCTGCTGCCGACTCTCTTGCTGTCGCTGCCCCCAGAGGACGTCATCCTCGTCCTTACCTCCAACGGCACGAACTTCAAGCGGCACGCGGAAACACTGATTCCGCCACATGTCCCTCTGAAGAGACTTCGCGTCTGCGGGCTGGAGCAGGTGCGCGGATTCGGCGCAGAGGTTGCCTCAGGTACAACTGTGGACCCGTTGCTCGCAGAGGCTGG